ATAGTAGTAGTAATAATAGTAATAATAGTAATAATAATAATAATAATAATAATAATAATAATAATAATAATAATAATAATAATAATAATAAGTGAAATGTCATTTTTACCCTCATATTTAACCGCCCTAACACTTACTTAACGGAGAGGGGGGAAAATAGCCACTTCAAAAACAATTAAGGGGGATAAAGTGGTTACATAAACAACACAGGGAGAAAATGTGCTATTAGTAAACAACACAGTGGGAAAAAGTGTCATTTTCCCTAATAATAATAATAATAATAATAATAATAATAATAATAAGATTCTAGGTAAAAGTTCTCCGAATTTTTCTTATTCTAGATGCACAAAAGAGATATTTTGAAACAATTTATATACCAAATGAATGAATGATGACCTTAATTAGCATACATTGAACCAGAATCCACCCATTGCACCAATCAATTACCTTATATGTTAAATTTATTTTTATTTTTTTAAAGAAAGTTTAACATGACCAAAAAAATTTATTCTAAATAATATAGTCTATGATTGTGTATCCTCAACTTTTTGCCACATCTTATAATTTTACAACATTATTTGGCCAACTTATTTGCTATATTTAGCATATTCTTCAAAAATTAAGAAATACTTGTTACACACAAGCAAGGGTTATCCTCATCTTTCATAATCCAATTTGACAAGAGTATCAGTGTATCACCAAAAAATTATTGAAGTTTTTTATAATTTTTCTTTTTTGGGCCAAACAACCGGTTTTCCTCAGTGAGGGACCCCACATGTACACTAAAACTAATAATGTTTATGCCGGGTACGACTTTAAAAGGTGGCAAAGCACTGCACTTCACTCTGTGTTTCTGTCTGTTTCACAAGATAGTAGCACGTTGTAACGATTTTGGTTCATCGACTCATTAATTGAAACTTTAATGATTTATAATTATCCATTATAGTTTTGTCCCAATCTCAACTGACGATCTCCACACTTGTAATGAAATGTGACAGACCATTTTTTCAAAAGGGGTGACTGAGTGGGTAGGGTATAATTCTTGTACTAGAAAATTACGAATTCAATTATTATTAAAATTTTCTCGATCAGACCTGTTAGATAGAATCTTTTTAGCGCGGTTTACTTCCCCCTAGCTATGTGGTTTAATTTGCAGGTGAAAGGAATAAAAATCTGGCACCTTATGAAAAATTAAAATTATTTATAATATTGACGTCATTAATTGAAGCATTAAAATCGTAATTTCTATAAATACAAGGACGGAACCTAGCTTATTTTCCCTAGAATAATAATATTTAAACTCGTTTGAATACATGTATGTAACATCATCCTTAAAGAAACGAAAGAAAGAAAGAATAAACCTTGGATGCTTAGCTTAAACATAAATTCGGAAAATTCAAAATTAAAGAATATCTTTGTCCGTGTGCCACGAGACAGTGGGTTCGATAATTTCAAGCACCCACCAAAAAATAAATAAATAAATAAAAGTAACAAAAAAAGTAGCTAGTGGTGTGGTGTTATGGCTATCTGACTGACAAGTGTAAATAATAATGCTTTGTTTTTAAGCTTTGCTACATCATGCTTCTCTTTAATTTCTTCCCTTCCATTGATGATAGGAGTATGGGAGGATGGGACTATTATTTATTTAATTAATTGTTTATTATTATTTGTTGAGTAACAAGAAAAATTTGTAATTATTATTTTAGAGTGTATATTGAAAATCTCGTCTTATAAACCTAGCTAGCAAATAATTATAATAAGGTAAATCAGTGTAGGCTACTCATAGCTTGTCGATTCAAACAATCAAACTAAGAAGGTCAATAGACCGTTCTCTTTGCGAGTTAAACTTATAACATTATAGTTATAAGCTTATTTATTTATTTATTAATAATTGAGTTTTTGACCTCAATTTTAAAAAATTTATAATTAAAAAAAATTAATCTTAACTTTTTCCCCTTAAAAAAAAATCATTGACAACTACTTCATGCCTAAAGTTGGTGCACCAATGGCTTTAACGGGATTCGAATAATCTATGCCTATATATAGTATTGGAATGTGATTCTTTAATAACTTGTGGAAATAATTAATGATCTTTTAATTATTTTGATAAATAAATTATATAATAATTAATTAAAAGAACTGTGAACCTTTTAGTGACAGCAAAGCATTGATATAATGGAGTTATTATTAATTATTATTAATACTTTAATAGTTTGGAGAGTATGGAGTTCCTCACTTTGTGTCATCATTACCAAAATATGGAGAAGAAAAAAAATATTTTTTATATTTTTAATGGAATAAAATTGTAATACGTTTATTATAAATTTGAGGTAATCTCTAATCTTTGATTTAATATTGGGTCAAAGTTTTGATATTTTGGCAAATGTATATATATATATATATATATATATATATATATATATATATATATATACTATTCAAAAATGCTATACTATATTACTTATTTGGTGACATGTGGCACAGTATCATCTACTGATTCTTGTTATGAAAACGTCATCATCTACGTTGGTCAGTGAGTGCATAGAGAGAGAATGAATGAATGAATAAATGAATCATTGATGATGATGATAATAATGATAATAATAATAATAACAATATAATAACAATAACAATATATGATAATAGATAGGATTTAATTAATCCGGATAGACCGAATCAATTAATCTGATAAATAATGTAAATAGGAAATGGATAAGTGAATAGACAAAACGGTGTCGCTGTAAGGTCGTGGAGACCGAAAATTATATATACTGAATAATGTTACCGTTCCACATCCGACCAGGGCGCATTGCCAGTTGTGCCTCCGGCGTTGTTACTTTGAAGAAATTAAAGTGCTCAAAGCAAGCTAGCTCTTACCCTGACGACCGAGTATAGGTTGAGCGCTTAAGCGTCATCCATTTTCGGGGCTAGTTCATTCGGCAAGTGAGTTGTTACACACTCCTTAGTGGATTTCGACTTCCATGACCACCATCCTGCTGTCTTAATCGACCAACACCCTTTGTGGGATCTAGGTTAGCACGCAATTGGGCACTGCATCGTAACCCGACTTCCGGCCCTGCGTTGGGAACAACATGCCCTGTCTTGAGAACAACGGTGTGCTATGCCTTGGCCCAACTAGGGGACGACATAACCTGCTATGGGCGACGACAGACTGTCTTCCCCAACACAGGGCCTGTTGTTCCCCCCAACACAGGGCTTGTCATCACCCATAGCAGGTTCTGTCGTCCCCTAGTTTGGCCAAGGCATAACAAACTGTCGTTCTCAATGCAGGGCCTGTCATTCCCAACACAGGGCCTGTCGTCACCCATACCAGGTCGGCCTGTCATCACTCAGTTGGCGGGAAGGCATAACACACCGCCATCATAAGTACATGATCGATTGGCTGGGGAACCTTTGATGGGTGATATCTCACACCATCGAAAATATATACTACATTGTAACAGAGTAAGTAGTACTCAAAAAAAATATATTATTATTGTTGTTGTTTTTGTTGTTTGTTTGTTTGTTTGTTGTTGTTAACGATAAAAGTTTAGTATTAAAGAGTATAATTTTATCACGTAAAAGTGTAAGTACATTGATGTAAAGTATATTTACGCATTTTTTTTTTTTTGAAAATAAAAGGCTAATTCATTAATCATAAACAGAAATGTTTACAATACAGATCGTTAGAATGACAGTGCATTCTTTACAGTCAGACATAGAAACAAATTTTCTAGCAATGTTATAGAAAACTTGGATCGCGGACTGTTTTATAAATTTGAAGCTGAAGTTGTTGGATGAACTTGGCGCTTCTTCACAGATCTGGTCAAACATAGCCAAGCCTGATTCTGATGTGACCATTTTATCATTCCACGCTTATGAGGAGAACTCGCCAAAGAAACGAGAGGAAAACTCGCCAAAGAAACGAGATGGAAACACTCGCAGAGAGACGAGAGAAAATAAACTAGTCAAAGGAATAAAGGGATAACATAGACCCAAAAGAAAACAAAATAAATAGAAAAGATGATAGAAAACCTGTCAGATCTGGAGAGTCTCTGACGCCTTCTCTGAAAAAACGATCGAAGATAATCTGAGATTTAACGCTTATTCCTAAAATAATCAGAGGATAGAGTCTACTAATTTTATGTATATTTACGCATTTTCATACTAGAAATCTTTTGCACCAAAATCTCTGTCATCTGCACACACACGCACATATATGTGTCAAAATTTGCATGTTTACAAAAAAATTCATTCTACCTTTTGTTTAAATTTCTATATACTTTTATAAGATCTTTTCAAAACAATGCTAGTTTTCCCAAATTGTTGCCTGTTTGACCCCAAAGTGATGTTGTTTTACAACTAAATGATTTAATGAAAGCTTTTCATATTTTTTAAAAAATGTCACCGCATTTTCTATTATTTTTTAAGTATAGATTTTATCCATTCATTATTTTGTGGGAAATGGATAAGATTTATTCATATATTTTTTGCAGAGGACCGATAAGCAAGAATGTTAAATATATAGGGCCATGATTATATGAGACAAGCTCAGTTCTTAACTAAAAGGATTAATCTCATCCATCTATATAGGTTGATCAACAGTTAGAAAATAAGAAAAAAATGGGATAAAACGCGATGACATTTTCATAATTATTATAATAGATTGAGAAATGCTTGTTTGTGTATCATGGATAACTGAGTGTACTGTCTATTATTTGTAAATGCACTATCAAGTGATTCTAAATGCACGCAACAATTACGGAAAGACCACAACATTTTTTCCTTAAATTTTAACGCTTGATCATTTTTGATTGACGGATAAAATTAACTATACTTACACCTTTTACCTGAGAACTTGTTCTAACTTCAACATGTACTTATGGCTATGTTTGGCAAACCTAGCTGAATAGGTAGCTGAAAGTTGAAAAACTATAAGTTAGAAGCTGAAAAACTATAATTTAGAAGCTGAAAACTGAAAAGTTATTAACTAGTTGATTATGCTTAAAAGTGTTTGGTAAAATTATATTATTAAATATATGAGATATATTTAATTTATAAAAAAAATTGTTTTGTTAATATATATGAGATATATATTAAATTTTTTTTTAAAAAAAAAAGAAGAAGAAAATATAAGATGCTAATTGGTAAGGGTAAATGATGTCATTTATTTATGAACTGACGATGGGAGTTAGAACTTTAAGGAAGAGTTGCGGAAGATGATGAGTAAAAATATAGGAGAATGAAAAAGGTCAAAAGGGTTTTAATTGGGAAGGGTAAGAAATGTCATTTATTTAAAATAATAAAAATAAAGATGGAAAAAAAATTATGAAGCTTCAAAATAAACTCTATTTTGAGAACATTACCAAACAGAGCTTATAAATTATTAGTAGGTTAAAATAAATTATAAGCTCAGCCAAACAGAGTCTATATATATGAACCAAATTACTAGACTCTATGTCTACAAATTAATAGTTGATTATTCGAGGCTGTTGACTTCTTGGTGGGGTGGATTTTGAGATCTCAAAATCTAGGGTAACTGGTGTGACAAAAAGCTCACTAATTAAGGATAAGATGTTTTATTTGAATGTGCGCTATAAGTAAAGTTCATTTTGTAATATTAGTAGATAAATAATTATAAAGAAGTAAATTAACTTAAGTTGTTCATAATTTGTCGATTCAAACTGAGAAGGTTAATAGGATGAAAATATAATTGTGTTGTATTTAATAATAATGTCTGAGAGTACAGGGAGCGAATATATAGAGATGCTAGATAGAATCCTAGTCTAACACGAATAATATAGTCTTAGTCTAATATGGATAATAGAGTCCTAATAGTCCTAATACTCCCCCTCAAGCACAAGGTTGGTCAGCCAAAACATTGAGCTTGCAACGGAGTAAATTAAAACGTACAGACGAAAGAGACTTAGTAAAAATATCCGCTATCTGATCTTTGGTAGAAATAAAATTGACTTGTAATTCCTTCTTCGCGACTTTATCACGAACAAAGTGGTAGTCGATCTCAATGTGCTTGGTGCGAGCATGAAACACCGGATTAGCACACAGATAAGTAGCTCCCAGATTGTCACACCAGAGTTTGGGCACAGAAGGTGGCGCAAACCCGATTTCCTTCATCAAAGAGACGAGCCAGGTAACCTCTGCAGAGACATCAGCCAGTCCTTTGTATTCAGCCTCAGTTGATTAACGAGCCACAGTACGTTGTTTTCGACAAACCCATGAGACAAGATTGGTCCCCAAAAATACAGCAAAACCACTAGTAGATTTGCGATCATCAGGATTGCCAGCCCAATCCGAATCAGAATATGCATGAATATCTAGAGAAGGAGAAGACGTAATCTTAAGACCAAGATGTAGTGTCCCATTTACATACCGTAACACCCTCTTGAGAGCCGCCCAATCCGGAGTAGAGGGAGAGTGCATGTGTTGACACAAACGATTGACTGCATAGGAAAGATCAGGCCGAGTTACCGTAAGATATTGCAGAGCACCTGCAAAGCTGCGATACTGAGTGGGATCAGCGTATGGTACCACGGCATCAGTCTCGGCCTTCGTGGTTGAAACCGGAGTAGCCACGGGCTTGCAATCAACCATACCTGCTCGTTTTAGAATATCCTTCATGTACCGTTGTTGAGACAGAAGTATGCCATCAGGCAACGGAATGGTCTCAATACCCAGAAAGAACGAGGGCACACCCATATCACGAACTTTAAACTCAAGAGCCAACTTGTCTATAAGAGCAGTCACATGAGCTGGATCAGATCCCATAACCAAAATATCATCCACATAAACCAGAAAATATAGACGAGTATTGCCATGTGAATATATAAATAGAGAGACATCCGTCTTGGAAGGTGAGAAACCAGCAGAAACCAGAAAATCATGCAAACGAGTGAACCAAGCACGGGGAGCTTGCTTAAGCCCATATAAAGAACGTTGAAGGAGACAAACGTGCCCGGGCATCGTTTGTCTTCATAACCAGGGGGCTGGCGCATATAAACCGTCTCAGCGAGATTGCCATTTAGAAAAGCATTGTGTATGTCCAACTGTCGAATAGTCCATCCACGAGAAATAGCTAAGGATAAAAGAAGACGTACCGTAGTCGGTTTAACAACGGGACTAAAGGTCTCAAAGAAATCCTCGCCGGCAATCTGATTGAATCCCTTGGCAACTAACTGAGCCTTGTAACGCTCAATCAAACCATCAGCCTTTCTCTTGGTTCTAAACACCCACTAACATCCAACTACATTCATACCTGATTTAAAGGGAATAAGCCTCCATGTATTGTTGTGCACCAAGGCATTAAATTCCAAATCCATTGCATCCCGCCATTCAGGAAATTTAACCGCTTGAGTAAAACATGTAGGTTTAGGAGTAACAGCAGCAGCAGATAAAGCAACATGATCATGTGGTCCCGAACTTCTCGTATTCATTCCATGAGAGCGAACGGGTGAGGGCGCGGGACGAGACCGACCACGAGGCCGGCCTCTTGGCCGAGGAGCCGGCTGGTCCGTGACTGTCCGCTCGGACTCGGTCACGGGCTCGGCAGTAGCAGGCTGCTGGCGGTGATGGTCAGAAGCGGCTATGGGCGCGGCAGGAGGGTCACGAGCCATGACAATAGTCGGATCACCACCAGAAACAATTGGTGCAACACCCCACGGCTCCGGGCGTGGTTTTGGAACCTGCGAATCCACAGAAGCAACAAAAGGAAAGACAGCCTCATCGAATCTTACATGGCGACAGATAAAAACCTTGTTAGTGTTAGTGTCTAAACAACGATAGCCACGAAAAGACGGAGGATATCCTAGAAAGACACAAGGGGATGACCGAAACTGTAGTTTGTTGCGATTATAGGGACGCAGATTTGGAAAGCATAAACACCCAAAAACACGCATATATGAATAAGATGGAGGAGACCGATGCAAAAGATAATGAGGAGATTTATCAGATAAGACAGGAGTGGGCATTTTATTGATTAGATAAACCGCAGTTTCAAAAGCATAATCTCAAAAACGAGACGGAACAGAGGATTGAGCCATTAATGCTAGTCCCGTTTCAACAACATGCCTATGCTTACGTTCTACCCTGCCATTTTGTTCATGAGTATACGCACATGATTGCCTGTGACGAATACCTAAGGACGCAAGAGCGGAACCAAGCTTTTTATATTCTCCCCCTAAATCAGATTGAAAAGAAATAATCTTGCGAGAAAAGGAACGTTCAACTAGTGACCGAAACTTATCAAATATAGCATACAAATCAGATTTAGCACGCATGGGATAATACCACATATAACGAGTGTAATCATCCACAAACAACACAAAATGTTTAAAGCCAGACGCAGAAAGTAATGGCGCAGTGCCCCCAAATATCTGAATAAATTAATTCCAAAGGATGCGTACTAGTAGTTTCGACACGAGACAAAGGAAAACGAGAAGATTTTCCTAATTGACAAGAGGAACAGACATTGGGAAGATCACTAGAATTAAATGTACCAACAGACGAAGACGCTAGAATTTTACGTAAGACTCGAGAATGAGGATGCCCCAACCGCATGTGCCAAACGTAAGAGGACCGTGCAGTAACAAATGCAGCAGGGGAAGCAGAAGACGCAAGCCATGTGTAGAGACCCCTAGACGCATGTCCCTTAAAAAGAACCTTCTTGGTCAAAATGTCTTTCACATAGAAACAAAGAGGGTGGAACTCAAAGAAAACATTATTGTCCTTTGCAAAACGCTGGACAGATAATAGAGAAGAAGAGAGACCAGGGACATGCAAAACATCATGTAACTTAAAAGACATAGAATCAGTGGCTAACGAAGCAGAACCAACATTAACAATAGGCAAACCTGTACCATTGCCGACTCGCAGAGTCTCCGGGCCATCATAACTTGTCGCAGAAGTCATCAAAGAAGAATCAGGCGTAGCATGATTTGTAGCACCAGTGTCAGGGAACCACTGATGAGGACCGTTGGAATCACCATTATCACCAGAGACGACCACATTAGCTTGAAAACCCGGAGCCCCTAAATAACGCCGAAAACAGTTGGCTCTCGTGTGACCAAAACGGTTACAAATTTGACACGGATCATCATAGCGCCAAAAACAATTGGCTCCCGCGTGACCAAAACGGTTACAAATTTGACACGGATCATCATAACGCCATACACAATTGGCTCCCGTGTGGCCGGAACCTTTACAAATTTGACACGGATCATCAACGTCACGTCGTTGACCGGACTGCTTCTGATACGGTGTATCTTGGTTTGATGCCATCGGCTACTGCTACGAAGTGAGGAACATGGATGTTGGAAAAGAAAACCCTGACTAACTGATACCAGATGAGAATATAATTGTGTTGTATTCAATAATAATGTCTGAGAGTACAGGGAGCGAATATATAGAGATGCTAGATAGAATCCTAGTCTAACACGAATAATATAGTCCTAGTCTAATATGGATAATAGAGTCCTAATAGTCCTAATAAATAAACACAGCTCTCACTATAAGTCAAACTTAAAACATTATGGTTACCAAACTAACTACCTGACCAATTCCGATCCTTGTACCGAGTAAAAATTGAAGATACTTTACCTGTGATTGCTTTTATACATACATATAAAGACATTAAAGTCTCTCCGAACCTCAACTTGTTTCCAAAACGAGGTTGATATAATGCTTGAATTTGTCTTAATTAAATTCAATTATTAATTTTTTTTTAAATACTATTGACTCTATTAATTGTAGTATCTGTTTAAACATATTTTCTCAACCTATTGAAACATAATTAATTTAATTATTATTGAGCATTGATTTAGAGGATCAAGTCCAACATCATGATATCAAAACGTTGTAGTGGTTGTTACACAATTGTAAAGAAATAAAATTACACATTTGCTACTAGTTATAATTTTTTGCCGCATAGCAATAAATGCTTGATTTTGCTATTGAAATGTGATGTTAACAGCTCTGCAAATATAAAAAAAAATAAAATTGTATATTCACTAGTAATTATAATTTTTGGTGGAATAGTAAACATTTCATCCGATAATCCTTAGAACAATATGCAATTTAATTAAGTTTTTAGAGTCAAATACGCAAGTGGAATGAAGCATACCAAAACTTGTGATATGTTAATAGCTACTGATTTGCCCAAAACAGCCACGAAACCATATTCTTACATTAAAGAGAGAAGAAATATCGGAAAGATCCTAGGAAACAAGTGGGAAACATTGGAAGAGCAGATGATCAAAAAGGAAAGAAAACTCTTAGGATGTGTTTGGTCGTTCATGGGTATATAGCTATCAGAAATGAGAATCAAAGTCATTGTTATTGTTTGATTTACAGGTTTCTAGAGCACTACCATGATATTTAATTACTTCCTTAATTAGAAAATCTATTAGATTTCATTCCATTATTCTCCCTCCTAATGAGTAATTTGATTTTTTAGTTTGAATTAATGCTTTTAAATTTTTGTTTTTATTTTTATTTTTGTTCATATTGGTTCTTTGGATGTCTTTATATTAGAATAAAGGAATAAGATTCAAATTGACCACTGAACGTAACCTGAAAATGCAATTAGGCCACTGAATGAAAAAAAAAAGTGCAATTAGGCCACTGAGCACTCCAAATGTATACAATTTCACTTAATAGCAAGTTACCATCAATTTTAGCAGGTTACTTGCTTACGTGGCAGATGAGTTGGCATTTTAAATAATTTTTAATAAATTTTAATAATAATTTTTAAAAAAAAAAAACGACGGGGTTTATTTATTATTATTATTTTTAAATTTATTATTAAAATTTATTAAAAATTATTTAAAAATTATTAAAAATGCCACCTCAGCTGCCACTTAAGCAGGTAACCTGCTATCCGGTGAAATTGCATACATTTGGAGTGTTTAGTGGCTTAATTACACGTTTTTGGAGTGTTCAGTGGCCTAATTGCACTTTTTTTCTTTCAGTGGCCTAATTGCATTTTCAGGTTACGTTCAGTGGCCAATTTGAACCTTATTCCTAGAATAAATTGTCTTGATTTTTTTGTTCTTGTATTTTTAAAACTTTTATTCTCATGATAGGATCATACATAAACAAACAACAATATTGATAACCAAATATGCAAAATACTTTTACCAAAACCTATTACCATTACCATTACTAAGTATTTTATTCTCATTACGATTCTGATTTCCATGTACGAACCAAACACACCTTAATTCCTCGGAAATGCAC